CTCACACCGTATATGATTGCAATCAATCAAAGAAAAACTAAGTGTGCTGCTGTCATGCCAGTTGTCACAATTAACTCTTCTGTAAGTTGTCACTGTTATCAGCTAAATACTTTTTGGGTGTAAATTAACAAGAATTATGCCAAATTTTACTAATGATGAATATGTGGACATGCTACAAGTGTTTTTTTCTACGATCGTGCAAAATTTACTACTTATTGCACTACCTACTGTGCCAAAAGTTTAACTTTTTTTACAGTAGTACAAAAAAAATATTGATTACAAGTTTAATCTAAGCATATCCATAAGTACCTAACGTCTGACATTGACAATTTGCGCAATTAATTTCCAGTTGTCAGTTAAAATTTTAATATTATGTAAAATACTGTTAAATAAAATTTGAAATAAAAACAATCGTAGAAAAAATGTTGCGTGCAACATGTGCAAAAAGCATATTTGTTGCACTTAACATGATTGCAGCTCTCAACTTCGTCTCGAGCTGCAAACTTCATGCATCGTACAACAAATACACACTCTTTACAGTAGTTGCACAAATAACTGTTTGAATGTCGCAGAAACTTTTATTAAATAGAAGTACAATGAAAACGAAACTAAGAAATAATTTATTATCAAAAAGAGAAAAAACAAAAAACTTAGTTAAAGGACATTTTCAAAATAATTGCCATTTCTTTCTAAACACAACCTAACACGTTTATCAAAGTTGTTACGGACTCGAGCAAAAATTATGGGATTGTTGCGAATCTCATCAGCCGCCGCGAATATTCTTTCCTGTAGCTCTTCAACACTGTCAACTGGGGTCGCATAAACAATACTTTTTATATGTCCCCAAAAGAAAAAATCCATGGGCGTTAGATCGGGAGAACGTGCAGGCCAAGAGATAGGTGCCTCATTGCCGCGACCTATCCAACGATTCGGGTAATTTAAATTAAGCCACCGCCTAACTACTACAGTGCTGTGAGCAGGAGCCCCGTCATGCATGTACCACATGGCCTGACGTACATTTAATGGTACTTCCTCCAGAAGTGGTGGTAGATGCTCATTTAAGAACTGCAAATATTCAACAGCACCAAGTCGATGAGGTAAAACAAAAGGGCCGACAAGCACATTTTCTACAATTCCTGCCCAAATGTTTAAACTAAAATTATGTTGAAATGTTGTCATAGATACTTCGTGAGGATTTTCATGAGCCCAGGAATGAAGATTGTGCATATTGGTTAAACCATGTCTTTGAAAAGTTGCTTCATCTGTGAAAAGTATCTTTGAGGCAAAATTCAAATTATTTCTTAGAATATTAAGATACGATTCGCAAAAAACAACTCGCTTATGCATGTCTGGTTCAAGTAGAGCTTGAACTGGCCGGTGGTGAAAAGGATATAATAAATTATCATGGACAATATTCCAAACAACACTATGGGACACATTTAAGTGCATTGCTGTTTTTCTCGTACTAGTCTGACGATTTTCGTCAAACTCTTCAAGTACTGCATCCTCAAGATAAATAGTACGAACAGTAGGTCTTCGGCCGGTACCCTCAATATGCGGCTGTATTTTTCCAGTTTCCCGAAGTCTTCGTTCTACCGCCGAAAAAGTTTGTCTGTGGGGAACTTGACGATTTGGATATCTCTCATTATACGCTCTTGTTGCCGCAGCACAGTTTTTGCGACATTCAAAATACACTTGTAGCATGTCCACATATTCATCATTAGTAAAATTTGGCATAATTCTTGTTAATTTACACCCAAAAAGTATTTAGCTGATAACAGTGACAACTTACAGAAGAGTTAATTGTGACAACTGGCATGACAGCAGCACACTTAGTTTTTCTTTGATTGATTGCAATCATATACGGTGTGAGGTGAATGGTAATACATTTTATTTTTTTATTAATAAACGAAAAGTTTTAAAGGAAAATTGCTAGAGAGGTAAAAGTTTCTAAAAGAACCAGTTTATCTAATGCGTATTTTTGGATATCGAGTTTTTACGAAATATAAAAGTTATGGCAAAAAATGGCTTGAGGGGTGGTTATTTCAACCCCTTTCGAGGGGTTAAAATTTTCGAAAAATAGTTGAAAACTCGCATCTGTATTAGTAAACAACCTGTAAAAAATTTGTTATTTGTACCTCGTTCGGTTTTCAAATTACAGCCAATTTTCATAATTTTTTTGGAAACTTTGATAGCCCATATCTCTTCAGGGGTGAACATTTTACTAAGGCGATTTTTTGCAGATCGTGTTCTTTTGAAATGTAGATTCACTGATATCATTTAAGCTACTCCATTCAAAAACACCCTGTATAAAACATTACTCCCGGAATTGAACACACTATACAGGATGTTTTTAAATGAAGCAGCAAAAATTGTACCAGTGAATGTAGAGCCAAAAATAAGAGGATTGAAGTAAAAATACCATATATGAAAGTTGCACCCCTGAGGCGATATACCCTCTTAAAGGGGGGGGATTGAAATTCACATTTTAATTTTTTTCTTTAACACGGGGAATGCTAGAGACACGAAACTTGGTATGAGCGTCCTACTAATAAAGAGGCAACTTTTCTATATTTTTTCGATCATTGGCGTATTTTATAGAGTGAAACAGTCAACCCCATTGCAATATTTTATTAGAAATTTTTTATATGACGCAAATTATTCATTTAAAAATATTTATTGGGAAGACTGATTTATTGCGCAACTTTTTTACCTCTTGTAATTTTTCGATACAACCGATAGTTTTCTCGTAAAAAAATTAGATGCGTCATCGTTCACTAAAGGGGTAATTGCGAAAATTTGTAAAAATAAAGTAGGCGGGCGTCATAACAAATAAATTATTATTTATCATATTAATAAATTGACACTTTCTAACAACCAATAATTAGTACCGATTGATTAATTTATTATCAGAATATGGCAAATAATATTTATACCAATGACGAATACGTCGATATGCTCCAAGTGTTTTTCGAATCCAGAAAAAATAGTAACGCTGCAGTAAGATTATGCCGCCAAAAATATCCAAACCGACCGATTCCTCATAGACAAACATTGACCTCGGTGGAAAGAAGGCTTTACGAAACTCGCTACACGTCAGGTGATGTGGTATATGCACGATGTGGCGCATAGTACACTTACCGTTAGAAAATGGCTAAATTTAAATTACTCGAACGCTGGATTGGTCGTGGTCGCGATGCCCCTGTTTGTTGGCCTGCACGGTCACCTGACCTAACGCCTATGGATTTCTTTTTGTGGGCACACATAAAAAGTATTGTTTATGGCACTCCTGTTGCCTCCTTAGAAGAACTACGCTTAAGAATATTTCAGGCAGCAGATGACCTTCGCAATAACCAAGAACTGTTTGTGCGAGTGCGTTATAACCTCAACAGATGTATTAGAGAAGAATATTCTTTAAATTTAATCATGCATTTCTTGTTTTTCGTTTGTATTAAATTTTATTTCAGATAAATAACTTTACCTAATGCATGTCCCATAGTCATAAGTTATCAAATATTTTTCATTAACTAATAGCAAATTATTCTTAGTGTTATTATTAAATTACCAGCTTATTGACAGAAAGTGTCAATTTATTAATATGATAAATGACAATTTATTTGTTATGACATCCGCCTACTTTATTTTTACAAATTTTCGCAATAACCCCTTTAGTGAACGATTACGCATCTAATTTTTTACTAGAAAACTATCGGTTTTATCGAAACATTACAAGAGGTAAAAAAGTTGCGCAATAAATCAGTCTTGCCAATCAATATTTTTAAATAAATAATTTGCTTCATAAAAAAATTCTAATAAAATATTGCAGTGGGGTTGGCTGTTTCACCCTTTTATAAAATACGCCAATAATCGAACAAATATTGAATAGTTGTCTCTTTATTAGTAGGATGCTCATACCAAGTTTCGTGTCTCTAGCATTCCCCATGTTAAAGAAAAAAATTAAAATGTAAATTTCAATCCCCTCCTTTAAGAGGGTATTTTTACTTCAACTTTACTTACTTTTGGCCCTACATTCACTGGTGCTATTTTTGCTACTTCATTTGAAAACACCCTGTATAGTGCCGCTTCCGCATTTCCATTATAAAATGCGTACCAAAGATGAATATCTGAGTATTCTTCATTACTAAAGAGCGTTTTTCAGGATAACACTAATAATAACGATAATTACAAATGAAATTACTAGAGAGCTAAATGTGACACAGTTACTAATTAATTTGACAGATAAATTTGTTGTTTTGTCGTACTTACTCAATTGTTTTTCAGAGACCACTTTGAAAACGTCGCGTCACGTCGTACAGAAAGATCGAAATAGAACATTTTTATTCCAAATTGAATGGAGAACCCAAAACTGATTTTTATTTTATGGCGTACCAATTTTCTCGTCAGAAATATCCAGTAACGTGCTAGAAAAATAATATTTTTCATAGCAAAACCTGCTCCCTCGATGGTAACTGCTAACTTTTACAAATTTCATTAAGTATCTTTAGACATTTGGCAACAATTAGTAAATTTGATTTTTTTTAAATCGACCTTGAACACCTTGTATTTCCTTAACGATGCATTTCTCGGATATATGTGTATCGGTTCCTGAAGTTTTCGCATCGGAAATAATAGCAACATGCCCAAAATTAAGTTTTACTTAGATTTCCTTTTATTATTACAACTAGAAAATCACAAGTCACCAGTTAAATATTACATCTTTCGCTGTAAATCACTTGCATTATAAAAGGCAAAAAGACATTCGAGGATTGTTTATAATTGTGACGTCAGTGTTAGGTTAGCAACCATTGTTTTCCGAACAAAGCACACTTTAAAGATTTTTTTAAGAAATCGGTTTGTTTCTTCCAAACTATTACTGGATAAATATAAACTTTTACAATTATTATTTACATGGCCAACTAGATTTCATGAAAGCTTTTTCCATATTCCTCTCAGTTTTTGTCACTTAAACACCATAAACGAGCCGTAATCGCAATTTCCAGACGTCCGGCATCGGCCAGCCCAGCCTCTACCACGCCCTGGTCGTCATCTTCCTGGAGTTCTTCGCCTGGGGCCTGCTCACGATGCCCCTCATCTCCGTGCTGAACAACACCTTCCCCGACCACACGTTCCTCATGAACGGCCTCATCATGGGCATCAAGGGCATCCTCTCGTTCCTGAGCGCCCCCCTGGTGGGCGCCCTCTCCGACGTCTGCGGCAGGAAACTGTTCCTGCTCGTCACCGTCTTCTTCACCTGCCTGCCCATCCCGCTGATGACCATCAACACCTTCTGGTTCTTCGCCATGATCAGCATCTCCGGCGTGTTCGCCGTCACCTTCAGCGTGGTGTTCGCCTACGTGGCCGACGTCACCGACGAGAAGGAGCGCTCGCTGGCCTACGGCCTGGTGAGCGGCACCTTCGCGGCCAGCATGGTCATCTCGCCGGCCCTGGGGGCCTACCTGATGGAGAGGTGAGTTTTTTTTTTGGTTTGCGTTAGTAAGTACCTCGATTATTGAACTGATTAACTTTTTAAACAATGGAAAACGAAAAACTTTGTAAAAAATTGAGGAATTGATTCATAATTATTTATAATTGCAAAATTGTATCCTAGGCTAGGCGATATCTGTTTTGATTTGGGTGAATCGTATATCCGCGGAGATTTTTGGCTTTCAAATATCACTAGAATAACAAAAAAACGTGGGCTTAACTTTTGGCGGCACAATATGTTAAAAAAAATCGAAAAATGTCATAGTTTTCTTCCTATTTAATTACGTATCTTTTCAAGAGTTGATTTTAGGCGAAAATGGAAGAGGAAAAAAATGTTTGTAATTAATTTTTTTTACAAAACATGACTAGTTACAAATCGAATGAATCATGATTATTATTGTAAAAATAGAAAAAATCGCCAAAATTGGGGTTAAAAAATATTACTTTTTAGGAAATTTTTTTGGGGTCTTTAAGTTGGGTATAGGACCTTCATACTTGGCTCAAGAAAACTTCATGTTATGTAGAATCATCACACCAAATTTCATCAAATCAGTTGACTGTTATGGCCCATTTACACGAGGCCAGTTGTGAAGACATCCCATTAAGCCAATCCAATGACAAAGTTGAGGACAATCCAATAAAAATTCAATTGAAGTTTACACGTAGGCCAGTCCGTCATCCGCCAGGCTAGTATCTTTGTATAATCTATGTGGTCTAGTATATACGGTTGTGTAGAATGGATAGGCTAGGGCTAGGCTAGGCTTGGCTAGGAACGTACGTTCTCACAAATGCCATTACACAAGCCAATCCACTTCTTGAGTGGTG